TCGGTGGCCTTCACAGCTGACTCGCGTTTTGAACTGTTCAGTTATTTACGGAACCTTGAAGTAGTTGATGCCACGTCGATACCTTTCTTTTTACGTTTGCTGTAAATTGTATTCGCCGTGTGTATTTAAATAACTATTTATAAGTAGTAACATAATTTACGTTAACAACTATTAGTTTGGGGGAAAAGTGAATTAAAATGCCAAAAGAGAAAAGAAATAGACGGAAATTACTTCAAATGGGGTTTGACAGTGATCTCGAAGATAACAGGGACATACGTATTAAAGGAAATGACCTGTTTTGTACTGTGTGTGAACGCATTATGAAATCTTCTTACAAAACTAAAGTGACAAGACATTTGAAGAGCATGCCTTGTCCAGCGCTGAAGACTGTATTTTCTATAAACATACAGACGCCTTTTTTTCAAGCAATATCCAATTAAACAAACTAGTGAACCACAAGTTTCGTAATACCGTAAATTAGAATTGCATGGACTACCCCTAAATGAACAATTTGATATAATGGATGATGTACAAAAAATATATACGGGCAAATAATATACGCCCAGTCAGTAGTACGATAAAAGAAAAAATGCAAAGTGTTGGAAAAAATCCAGGATACCAACACCATTTTGAAAACATAGTAAAGTTTTATCTGGTACATATCAGGAGATATCAGCAAATATATTAATATATAGTACATGCATCAACAATTTCTCATACTATCCGTTATGACGTTGAACGGTCATTTCCCTACACAAGTTAATATTAAGTGATAAACGTCGTCGTTTCACTAAAGAAAACTTAAAAAAGCACGTAGTAATATGTTTTAACTCCTTCCAATATACCACGAAAGCCTTGTCTCAACAGTAGGTACGGTTTATCGGGTAAGTGGTGTAATTTAAATTTATATAGGTATTTTATCCTCTACTTAGCCTTGCTCTTTCATAATAGTACCATGTTGCGACATATTATCTGTAAACATATTAAATTTTCATTCGTAATCTGACCACGGTCCTGTTAAACTCCGCGCCGCACTAAGCCTAATTATAACACGAGTATAATAAACTCTATTATTTAATAGTTATGGTAAAAAAAATCCCAGTTTAAATTACATAACTTTACCGATAACAAATATGAACGATTAAAGTTGGGACCGCGGATGAATAAATTATTACATTGCGGTTGGAATTCCAGATTAGGTGGCAAGGTTCATAAATATTTGTATTATTATTATTACTTGACATGTGATTCTTTCCAGTACGTATACAATTGGTATATAATTTACTTTAATTCTTAAATATAAAAGGTATCTTAGTTAATCTATGCCGATATATTACACAGGGGGACAAAACAATTTAGATAAGACCCGGTTTTTCCTATGTATTTTGATGTTATGAAAATGAATTACAGGGTTAGAAAAAATTCTGACCCAAGAGTTTTCCATAAATTACCTCCAAATGCGCGATTTTTTCTGGCATTTTTTGGGTATGAACAGAATTCTGATTTTCAGTTTTTGACAAACGAGATTGCATATGAAAGGTTGAGGTACAGATTTCCAAGCTATGGAGGACCATCAATTGTCAACTGACTGTCAATACAGATAGAGCGATTAAGAGTTTCATTTTCTCAATGGATCTGAGTGTCTGAGACTCCTTTACTCCAATGCCATCAATTTTTATTCGATGATATATTTTCCGCAGGCCTATGACAGGTTATTCTCCAATATGGTGAATGTCTTGTCGTGGCCTTGGGGCTTGAGCTCTAGAGGGACTAAGATTCACCTATGGGCAGGTTATCAGAATAAAAAACCTAGAATGGACGATTCAACAGGCTGGAAATCTTACGAGACAGGGTCTCGGATACCCAGAAGGGGCAGGAAGTAGCAATTGATGATGGATATTTGTACATCAACCTTTCATACGCAGTGTGTTTATGTCAAAAATTTTGAAAATGTGAAAACTGTTCATATCACAGAAGTCTTGATGAGTGGTGTGAGAAGATTATCCAAAAAATGTAAGAAAACCTGAAATATCGCGCATTTGAATATGATTGGTGGAAAACTCTTGCGTGAGATTTTTTTCCAATCCTAATATTCGTTTTCAGAACATCAAAATACATGGGAAAAACCGGGTCTGATCTAAATGACAAAAACTTTTGTTTTTTTGTCGGCCTGTATTATTTTTACACAATTGTTTTTGTTTACTGGCAACTAGGACTAATATGTCTATAAGTAATTTACTTACCGACGTGTGAACTGTTAGTAAAATTAATATAATAAATACACTGAGAAAAATTATTATCTTATATCAAACTAACCTGAAAGTTCAGGTATGATTCGATTAAATTTAAATTATTTAATTCTTTATTATTTGTGTAGAATAATACATAACTTTTTATAATTTTACATTTAAATTATTATAAGTTTGAAAGTAATTGGTTTAAATTAAATAAACGAAAATTAAATCTTACACATTTCAAGACTATTTAATATTAAATTTTATGAATGTAAATTTTAAATAAACCGTTACTGATACGATTGCACTGAAATAAATAAGAACACATTCATTTCAATATTAATATGCTTTCATCAGTTACCATGCAACAAACTTATTAAACTAGTTAAAAGAGAATGAAGAAAACTTTAACAGCAAGCGTTGAGTGAGAAATTTCTTACTCAACGCAGTCAGTTTGTTTTGAACGAGACTTTTTATCTTGTCTGCTGTTTTCATGCACATAGACTAAAATAAAATTTACAATAGAGAGCCCAGGTTCAGTGCCCACAAACTACTGACAAACTTGTGCATATCTATGAATTGTAACTAAACGACCAACAATTAAAGTTATATACTTATTATATTTTGGGGAGTGAAATATTTCTGTTATCGTTTCTATTCTTATTACATTACAATAAGTAATCGGTATTTATTATATTATGCAAGTGCATATTCATACTTATTTTGTTTGATATCAGTGATAGACGAGGTTGAAAGACTAGAAACTTTTATATGGAAAATTGATAATGTGGCGACTCTGACCAATGTATTTCTAAATAATGCTTCACTAAGTACATACAATTAAAATAAAAATGGGGTCAGGTTAGTGAAAATTTTGCAGTAAATTTCATTTAATTATATGTGTACTCGCAATTATTAATAGTTGGAATTATACTTTGTTTTCGTACTAAAATAAGGAAATTTCTATTTATCGATTTAAATAATAAACATATAACAGATTAATAAACCGAAGTTTGAATTGGCCCATCAAATAGCCAGGATCTTCTAACATCAAAAAATGCTTAAATACCCACAAAACCGTCAAATCAGGATTTAAAATCAAGGTATGATTTAACAGCGGCTGAAACTAGTGTATCTTGAATGAAATTAATAAATTAAGCTTCTATGATTCAGGTATGATTTAACAGCAACTGAAAATCGTGATCTGGTCTACAAATTCCCGTATATTTTGACCCGTTGAATCCGAATCCGATGTCAGAATTGCCCCAGCAAATCACCAGAATTTCCTAACGGATTATTGTTGGTTACACAGTTGCACAAGAAAATAGTCTTGCGCAAATGACCAGAATACATTTTTCACATATATTTTGAGCCGTTGAATCCGATGTCAGAATTGGCCCAGCAAATCACCAGAACATCAAAAATTGCTTAGAAAACCTGCAAAATCGACAAATCAACATTTAATATCCTGATTATAGAACTTTCTGCGTTTGCAACTGAGTGTTTTAGACTATGTTACGTTTAAAGCCTTTCTATTCGTTTATAACTGGGCGCCAAGAAATCTTCGCAGCAGGCGTTGAAGTCTCTATGGGTAGCACTGAATTCACGCGAGTAATAGGTATACTTTTGCATTATTTGTAGCTCTATTATTCTAAAATTCGAGAATGTTAGTTATTTTAAGCTATTCCGATGATTTACTAGGGAATTCTAACAGATTCGGATTCAGCAGGTCAAAATGCACGCGGATATATAAGTCAAACCAGGATTTTCAGTCGCTATTAAATCATAGATGGATCATAGAAGATTGATTAATTTTGGGATTTTTAATTACAAAATGTCTTATTGTTTTAATAAAAAACCTTCTTTTCTTTTTTTAATATTATTTCACTTATTGTGAGAGATGGACCCAACAAGCCCTATATGGCTATGCTCAACAGGAAACGCCGTCTCCAAATATGTAAAAATATACAGGGTGTTCCATTTAAATTAACAAAGTTAATATCCGCGGCCATTTTGTTTGGACTTCATTTGTGTTTCTGCTATCATTTTCGAAAACTTCATAAAAAATCGTGCAACTTTTGTATTTCACATTTTTTTATAACTCTTAAAACCAAAAAGTTAATGGGGAGGTCAAAATATAGTGAATCACCCTGTACAAATAGCTGCAAATACTTTAGCTCCAGAAATTAATGAAAAACAAAAAATATACAACGAAAAATCGATTTTTAGCTCTCAACTTCGAAAGCTAACGAAAAAAACATATAAACATTTAATTATTATTTTTACAAGTTCTACTCAAATCCGGTGAAGTATCCATCGTTTTTTGGACAACCTGTAGATAGCACAGAGTTGTTCTTTTTGCATTATAATGTTCAACAAGTTTCATTCCCATTGCAATTCATCTGATGCAACTAGATACATTAATGGATCACTATAAGAACCAAACTCCTGGAAATATTTAGTCACTTTCTCAAAACATAAATAACACAACTAAACATAGTACCGTCAATCTCTTTCCCCGTAAATAAATATTTGTCATAGTGGGGAATGGCATATATTTTTAACACTTCAAGGGGAATTTCGATCTCGCGCATTTGTAACGATTTACCGTAACGCTACGTCAATGGTAATGAAGAGATGTTTTGGGAAAGTGATTATATTTTAGGTCAGGACTGAACTTTCTCCTCGACCGCTAGTTTAGTCGTTCGCGTTCTTTCTTCCAGTCAACTCGGCGAGTGAAGTTGTGCAAAACTTATTTTTTTACAGACACGATGAAGATAACCTTTGTGGTGGGCCTGCTGATAACGGTGTTTTTGAAGGATTCTAGTCAGCAATGTTTTCCCCCATACGCCAGTAATCAGCCGGAGAGGAAGACACACGCGGACCTTTACTCCGGACAACAGGGATTTTCCTTGGCTCTATTGAATGCCATCAACAAGATTATGCCAAATGAAAATTTGTTCTTTTCCCCATACTCGACGTACCACGCTTTGCTGATCGCTTACTTCATGACTGGAGGACAGACTGAAAGCTACTTGAAAAAAGTTCTTAGATTAGACCAAAGTCAGGTAACATACATTCTCTTAAAATTCTTTCTCATAACAATAGTTTTAATGAAGGCTGTTATCTCTGTAATCTTTTTCAGAAATATAATAATAATTTTACAGATAGCAATAGTGGTATTCCAATGCATAAAACTAAAATATAGCACATCACGTGATTTTACCAACAAATCTACAAATGAGTAATTTTTTACAATTACACCCTAATACAATGGCAATGTGTCAATTTTTCGGAAACAATAGTGCAGAAACAATTTTCAAAGAAATTTTACTTTTAACTTAGCGATTACTTTTCTGCCTCAATAATTTATTAACCAATCATTCAAATAATAATCATATAACATTATATACTAATAGACAAATCAAAAATACATCAGAATTAGGTATTCAAATAAATAGATTGTAGTTAATGTAGAAATTAAATAATTTAACTGCATTTTTTCCACTGCTAATTTGATATCCACCTATATAGTATTATTAAAAGTACTACTTGATTTTAGGAAATAATTCCAATTCACTGAGCTAGTGACCCAAATTATTATTTTTTCTGATTTTTTTTTATATTATTTAATACCCACTTGATTTTTTCAAATTTTTATTTCAACCCCACAAGAAGTTATGAGCATTTGAATATTTTCAAATACATACCTGTATCTTGGCAAAAATTAAAGACATTATAAACTTTTGGGAATTTTCCGAAGAAAAAAAACGCCACTCTTTTTTAGAAAGTAATTTTTGGTTTAAAAATTTTAAAAATACCTCAAAAAACTAAAAATGTATTATTTTTATATATTTTTTTATAAAACTACATCTCAAGACGAACAAAATGAAAAAAAAAGTTTATGACATCGTTAGTTTTACCCAAAATTTTCAAATACTCATAATTCCTTGTGGGTTGTGGGGTTGTGGTAATAATTTGGAAAAATTCCCGAAAGCGACTATAAATAGATACCTACTAAAAAATTAAAAAATGAGGAAAATTAAAAATGGTCGGATCACAACCTCAGTGATTTCCCATGAAATGCCCCACATGAATTTGTCGAAGTTAAAAAATATCTAAATAAACCAGTCAGTTTGAATGCAACTGGTATATAGTAGACAAAAAATCCAAATGGATTGATTTTCATCACAAATTTCACATACTACATATTACGGTATAAATTTAAAGTACAAAGTAGGTAGGTACTTACTATTTGCTAATTAGTCCATATTGTTCATTTTTGCATTCATACTAAATTATAAGTATCAACTTCACTTTAACATAACATTTTACCGTAGTAGAAATGCAGTACCATTTAGTTTTTGGTCAATAACGAAACCCTAACTAGAGAGGTAGACTTTGATTCTGAACAAAGTGAGTTAAAATTACTTTTGAACGATTTAATAAAGTAGTTATAATCGTTTATACTTTTAGTTGTACTACTTATTTATTTGTAGTAAATAAGAATTAACAAAACTTTTATCCTAACGCAATCAATCACCAGGAAGACGCTATTCGAAATCGTCCTTACAACAAATTTATTAAACATCAATAGTAATTAATATTTACAAAATATTCTGCAAGATATTGGAAACCCTTAATCTTATTCAAGTATGTAGGATAAAACCAAGACAGCCGAGGAATACTTTTAGGGTGTTTTTCTCCCAGTAACAATGTGATTTAAGAAATTTGAAGTAAAAATGGTAAAATAATACCTTACACTTTTGAATCTAATTACCGTCTTATTTAAAATTATCTCAAAATTTATTAAATTTAGGAACACAAATTGTATCTAAGTGTGAAGTATAACTCTACATTTATTACTACTGTTGGTAGTACCATTTTTATTACCTAAAACTAGAAATTAATATTTAAATTGTGTGTTACCTACTGCGTAAGCCTCATAAGAAATAGAAGTAGCAGTATTAACAATGAATTAAATTTAAAATATTCATATAAGTAGGTACCCTGCAATACAATTGTTTCTAAATACTTACAGTTATCTCTCAAAATTAGAAATTTACGTGATTATGCCATAATTTTCGACATTGTTATGTTTCACCCATGACTAATTACTTTCTATAGCAGAAATGTACCAGGTTTGTGAACAAAAAATAATTACCTAATATTATTTGTTGACTGCAAAACAAATAACGAAATTAATGAATGAACTCCCATTTATTTATCAAAGATAAAACTGATTCTTCTTCTAAAAGTCAGGAGCAGGAAAATATATTTTTTTCTTTTTTCAGTCTATTTGCAATTATATCATAACATAATTAAGTAATTTAAACAAAAAAAATGTTTTTGTTTAAATTTAATCTAATTTTAATACACACCCTCTATACACTTTATACACAGGGTGATTCATTAATAATTGTACATACGCTAACTGGATAATCCTGGGCTGAAAATATGAAGAATTGACACATAACGCTTAGATAAAATATGGCTCCTTACGGAGTTACAAGGTATTATTTAAAAAATTTTAAATGATTCTTACCTATTTCTTTAACACTGTTTAATATTTCCCTGTCATATTTGGCATAAAGTTTATATACCTTAGACCATATTAAAAAATACTACTAAATAGTTCATGGCTACTATCAGAGGCGTACCTACAACAAGAGTAGAGGGGCAGTTTCTCATTCCTAACTTCTAGGCCACTGATGGAATTTTTATTTCGAAATTTTATAAATAGTAAGCTTTTGAAAACTGAAAAAATTGTTATTTAACGAAAACAATGCATCCTACATATACATATAATATGTATATAATTTTTGTCATAAATGGTTGCCGATGGTAATTCTATTTTATAGGTACCCATTGTTTTTTAGAGCACTCTAAACATATGAATGACATAAACTTCTGCAAAAAATTAAGGGAGCAAAAAAATTTTTCGAATTTTTAGTGATTTTTCAGAATGCTGTATCTCAGTTAAAAATGATCGTATCAAGGTTTTAAAAAAAGCATTTTAAAGCGCCGAATGTCTAGTTTCCAGATTTCTTAGCTCAAAATTTTTAGGAGCGACAGTCATCGCGAAATTCTAAGAAATAAGACTAAAAAATTTTTTTTTCAATTTTTTGCGTTTTTTTTCTCGGTCCACGGGCTTGGAAAAATTTTTTACACAAAAATCATGATATGGACTTGATAGCCTGTTCATTCAGCTTTAATTTCTTTTTTTAAATTTTTCTCTACGTTAATTTGACCCGGAGATATTCGACTACGAATACAAAAGCATCCTTTTGGCTTTAACCATCGATATCTCAGCAACTAATGATCAGACAGAAAATTGACGGGCAGTTTCGAAATCTCGAATAAACTTCCTACAAGGCTATGTAGCGTTCTTGGAAGAAAAAAATTTTCTTTCATCCTCGACATTAACTTGAAAAAAGTGAAAAAAAGTGACTTTTTGACTTGTTTTGCTAAGTCGACCGCATCTTTGCTAATATCGATGGAGAGTCTAATGCTTGTACGAATTTTTACACCTCGATGTACCCCCAAAAGCTCCGTAAATGGGCAGATCGATCTATCGAACGGTTTTTCCGGACCGCTTAATCAAAATTTCAGAAAAATTTAAAGGAGCAAAATTTACATTTCTGAGCACCCTCCCTGTAACGTTAGTAAAAATGAAAAATTTAATTTTTTTTTCAATTCTTTCACAATTGAGCATTTTTTGCTCATTGAATTTGAAAAAAAAATTAATTTTTGAAAAAAAAACTTTTTTTTTTAATTTTTGAAAATTTTTTGGAAAATTTACTCTTCTTTATTTTTTAGCAACTCAAGATGAAAATATTGAGTCATTTTTGAAGCGATGTACTCTTTCCGTACCGTAATTTCCTTTATTTTGAATTAATGAAATTGATTAAAAGTTGATACCCCAAGATTGGTGTAGTCCTCGATCTGCCAAAAAATAGTGCGTATTATCCTAAACTTTCTTACGAAAAGTGTGAAAAAAACAGGTTTTTTTAACTCTATATTCGATTCAAAGGAACCAACCAACAGATTTTCTCAAAACTGACAATGTTTTTTGTAATTCTAGTGAAAACAATTAATTAAAAGTTTTTGTAGACTTCAATTTTTTTAATTTTTGTCATGCCTAGACGGCATTTATCATTTTTATTTTATTTATCAACTTTTAATCAATTTCGTTAATTCAAAATAAAGGAAATTACGGTACGGAAAAAGTACATCGCTTCAAAAATGACTCAATATTTTTATCTTGAGTGAATTTTCAAAAATTAAAGTTTTTTTTTTCAAAAATTTATTTATTTTTTTTCAAATTCAATGAGCAAAAAATGTCCAATTGTGAAAGAATTAAAAAAAAATTAAATTTTTCATTTTTACGAACGTTACAGGGTGCTCAGAAATGTAAATTTTTCTCCTTTAAATTTTTCTGAAATTTTGATTAAGCGGTCCGGAAAAACCTTTCGATAGATCGATCTGCCCATTTACGGAGCCTTTGGGGGTACATCGAGGTGTAAAAATTCGTACAAGCATTAGACTCTCCATCGATATTAGCAAAGATGCGGTCGACTTAGCAAAACAAGTCAAAAAGTCACTTTTTTCACTTTTTTCAAGTTAATGTCGAGGATGAAAGAAAATTTTTTTCTTCCAAGAACGCTACATAGCCTTGTAGAAAGTTTATTCGAGATTTCGAAACTGCCCGTCTGATCATTAGTTGCTGATTTTGTATTCGTAGTCGAATATCTCCGGGTCAAATTAACGTAGAGAAAAATTAAAAAAAAGAAATTAAAGCTGAATCAAGTCCATATCATGATTTTTGTGTACAAAATTTTTCCAAGCCCGTGGACCGAGAAAAAAAAACCAAAAAAATGAAAAAAAATTTTTTAGTCTTATTTCTTAGAATTTCGCGATGACTGTCGCTCCTAAAAATTTTGAGCTAAGAAATCTGTAAACTAGACATACGGCGCTTTAAAATGCTTTTTTTAAAACCTTGATACGATGATTTTTACCTGAGATACAGCATTCTAAAAAATCACTAAAAATTCGAAAAATTTTTTTG